AATTCAAGTGCCTTAGAATGATGAAGAGCGGTTCTTTCTCTATCCTACACACTTTATCCATTGCTTAGCCCTCTTGAGCCTGCAATTTCATTTCATAAAAATCCAGTTGGTGATCATCCCCCACACTGGGGCAAGGTAAAAGCCATCATTGTCCATGCAGCATATCCGGAGCGCCAATAGAAGACTAAGACCCTGAGAATCCAAATGTTAGTCATTCGGTCAAAATAAGCCAAAGTGTGGTTGGCTAATGTATGCATTGTAGACAGTGTGTGTCAAAAGTTAAAAAAAAAAATGAAAGCTAAGGGGCATAAAAAAGCAGTGTGCCAGGTAAAAGCAAGGCCATGCCCAAGAAAAAAGAAAAGTCGAAAAAAAAAGGGAAGAACTTTAGAGAAAAAATGTCAAGATATGACATGTCAAAGTCATGAATCCCAGTGGAGCAGTGGTCTTACAAGTCTCGAAGGAATCAAGTGGTGAACTCAAGACTGATAGTACATCTATCAAGAAGACAATTCTTCAAGGCAAAGAAGAAAACCGGTGATTATGCCTAGATGATCACCAACTCTCACCCTTATACATATTTTTTAGCCTGATATATACTTTCGTTTCTTGAACCATGAACCTAGCCTACGTTACGTCCCTTGCAAAGTCTCTTCGGATTAGGGCACTTGAATTAACATAGAATTCAGATGTTTATAAGCTTAGCTCGAAGAAGTGCGAGCAAGTCTATTTTTATCTCATTTTGCAGGGTTCTTGACTTGTAAACCCGAAGATGATTGCAGAGTATTTTCTTTCAATAGCCCCGACTCGAAGAGTCTCCTTTGTTAAGCCATTGACCAAACCGACACTACGTTCCTAACAAAGACCTCTCAGATTGGTAAGGTTGTACCGCTTGCGAGAATACTCGGACCCTTATCAACATGTTGATGGTGAGATGGAGTGATTCTCATAAAATAGCCCTTCTGAATGAGAGTGAGTGAAAGCCCTTTTTAACTGAAAGTCTCTCATTTAGCATTCTTAAGAAATCCACGTTATAAGTGAAAATTGTCTTAATGATAATTCTCCCTAGTGGAAATTTGGTTATGCAAATATGGTAAAATCATCATGCATAAACCTCAATTGAATTAATGAATTTTGAAATGTGTGTTCTAGAGTAGCCGTGATTGCTAATCTCTTTTATGAATGCATATGTGTTTTTGCTCTAGTCATGTCCGACAGGTAATGTTTCCTCGAAGACTGAAGAGTTCCTGACGCTTGAGTTGCTATCTGAAGCTTCGAATTTGTTTAAATATTTTTCAACATTCAAATATCTGATTGAAGTTTCAGTTATCATTTCCGAAAATCCGAAGGGAATTTTCGATTCTATTAATCATATCTGATTGCAGTTTCAGATATCTTTTCGAAGATCCGAAGGGAATCATCGAACCCATTCAAATACCTGATTGAAGTTTCAGGTATTATTTCCGAAAATCCAAAGGGAGTTTTCGATCCTATTAATCATATCTGATTGCAGTTTCAGATATCTTCTCGAAGATCCGAAGGGAATCATCGAGCCCATTCAAGTATCTGATTGAAGTTTCAGATATCATTTCCGAAAATCCGAAGGGAGTTTTCGATCCTATTAATCATATATGATTGCAGTTTCAGATATCTTCTCAAAGATCCGAAGGGAATCATCGAGCGCATTCAAGTATCTGATTGAAGTTTCAGGAATTTTTCTTGAAAGTCCGAAGGGAATTATTCGATACCTTTCATCGAAAATCCGAAGGGAATTTTCGAGCCCATCTCATCTCAAGCATCTTCTCTGAAAATCCGAAGGGAATTTTCGAGCTTTCAAATACTATTGGGAATTCCAGATACTTGGCGGGTTTCGAAAGCTGATCCATACCCCAATTTTGCTTTTCCAAATCTTCAGGTAAGTAAATGCAGGTATGTTTTCTATTTTTGCATTTGCATTTTCATATCATATTAGAAAATGGGTGTGGGCTCATTGAGATCCCATTTACTCGACAAAAAGATTAATTTTTCTCATTGCATTTGCATAGTCAAATTTTAGGTATCATTTTATCTTTGAATGAAACCTCTTCGAGCTCCCCTTCAAAGAGGGGCAGCTGTTGACACCTAAATTTTGGCGATCCATTTAGGTACATATTGCATAGGAAAATTAGGAGTCGATCCCGACACCTAGCAAAAATATTCGTTAAATTGCATATAGATATTAGGAGCATTTCATTAATAGGCCCATATAGTTTGGATATTTACCGGACCGGCGGTGAATGGACTCGAGTGAACGGCTCTGAACTTAATGAAATTGGACTAAGCCGCGTTCAAAAAAAAAATTTCTTGGCCAAGCCCATGAACATTGTAAGAGCAGAAATTTTCATTGGAAAATGTCGAGTTGAAAAATATTAGTTTGGATATTATCGTGATTTAAATTGAACAAATTGATTTGATAATATCATATATTGCAATATCTTCTTTGAATCGAAGTAGGAAATAAGCAAAAAAACCATACACTTTACCTATAAATATTCATTAAGGGTTCACAAAAAGGAGGGGGGATACCACTTACATACTCGGCCACATCGTGAGACGCAAGAGCAAGGAGCGAGAGAGAGAGATATGGTTTTTGTTCTTTCTGCCTAAGGCTCAACTCACGAGGGTCAAGGTGGAGAGCAAAAGCTCTCCACGTTCGCACTCACGGAGAAGCCAAAGGAGAAAACGCAAAAGGGGAGATAGTTTCTGGTCATCTTCCATATGCAAGTAAACCCCAAAGAGTGCTTTCGGGGGAGCCCAGACGGTCAAAGCTTTCCTCGACGCCCCCAGCCATCGTTCGACGCAGCAGGCATCCTGGACGCCTAAGAACAGTGAGCCCAACGACGTTTATCAGATCGCGTTGCCGTTTTTCCTGCCTCGACGACGACGTGGTTATTCCCTGCTGTTGATCCGGCAACGCTCCCCAGTCGACAGTCCTTCTGCTGCACCACGACGATAACGCTCTCACCTGCAACGCCGAGTCCTTGCATCGCCGCTGTTCTGCACCGGTGCTACTCCACGGCGACCTATTGCTGCTCTTGGGCCTGCTTTGTCTCGCTGCATGTTGGCCACTTGATTACGTGACGACATTGCATTTTTTCGGTTGTCCGCTATCATCGTTTCTGTTTCGTAGGTTGGCTGAGCTCTAAGACGCATCTTGAACCAAGCATCCCAAACCGTGAGTCCTGCCTACTGCCTCTACGAGCAGCGTCACAAGTTGTAGTCCGAGAAGTCCACGCCGTAGGTTGTCCCTTTACGACCGAGCACTACCGTCGTGCATCGCTATCCACGTCCGAGAATCGCTACCGCTGCCGGTCCACTAGCCACCGTCCCGATCTGCAAGCCCGAGTTCGATCCGAGTTCAAATTTGGAATTATCCGCCAATTAGGTAAGATTATCCGAATATTTCTCTTAAATATTTAATTTCCTAGTTTTCGGGTGTTTGAATATTTCGTGAATATTTTGGTGGATAGCTAGATATCTTAGGGTAATTTTGTGATATCCACAATATTTGAAAATACCCAAAATTAGGAATCATTCCTAATTTAGCAACGTATCTGAACGACTATCCGACCTTATCCCTAAGGTACGATACGCGGCGATACGGAAAATCGTTATCTTGTCCATAATCACTTGGATACGATAATAGATTTAATTTGCTTTCCAAATTTAAACAATCAACTTTCTGTCGATATCTATAACCCTATAGATATGACCGTTAGTTTGATTTCTTTGCCTTATCTGAATTTGAAGAATCTTGCGGATTGCGTGGATTGTTTGAATGTGATTGGTATTTTTGTTTGATTGTTTTCCTTTTAAATAAAGAAAATCTTAAAAAATTGTTAGTTAGATTTAAATTAGAAATTGTTTTAATCTTAGTGGATTATTTAGGATATTTAATAATTTCGAATTTTAATAAAAATCCCAAAAAAAAGAATCACTTTAGGATAGATCAAATCATTTTCTCTAGGATAGATTGCATGTTAATTTGAGTAATTTTTAATTCCGAATTTCATTTGAAAATACCAAAAATAAATCATTTTTCCGTCATTAGAATTAGGTCACGTCGTCGCATGACATATAGTTTGCATGTTAGGCTGCATTAATCGCATGTTAATTTTTGCACGTCATTACATATAGGTTAGCTTTCATTTAAATAAGTGAAAATCCTAAAAAAATATTGAGTGAACTGCTTGTTAATTAGAAATCATATTAGGATTGTTGATGTGATTTTCTAGCTAACAACGCAGATGCTTACGTTGCTTCGAGGTAAGTAATTCTCCCGATCTTGCAATTTATTGATTATTGAGTGTTACTTTGGTGGTTTGCGCACCCGCATGATCACCTCACATGTTAGTGACTAAGTTAAAATGGATCCAGACCGCATGCATAAACATTTTTTGAAAAGTAAAGGTACCGAAAGGGCGTTAGATTAGATCTAGCGTAATCAAGTCCCCGAGCTTAGAATCTCTGGTTCGTAGGAATAAAACATATCTCCCTATGTTTTATTTAGGTTTCTAATCGACCTACCACAAATAGATTAGTGGCGACTCCAAGCATGAAAACTTTTGCATGTTAAAAACTTAAATCCTAAGTTGCGAATTGGTAGGGCTTGGGAGGGCTCGAGTTAAGCTTAGACTTAATAATCCATTAGCCCGAGAGAAATTTTTGGTCGCGACATATTGCAATTGGCGTGTGTGCATGAAAAGAGACCTTGTATTGTGATTCGAAAGGATGCAATTTTCGGAAATTCAAAGGGTGTAAATTTTCGGAAATACCCTCTTGAGTTTCACATTTTTATGCAGTATTTAGATTCAGATATATAAAATTGAGCGCGCGAGTGTTCATTTGTACACCCACATAATTGGAGCATACTCCATCTGATTGATAATATATTCTCTGGGATATGCGTGAGCTGATTTTTGTCATTTATGTTATTCTACGACACTTACTCAAATATTCATTAGGGAAACGGGAAAGCATTTTGTTCGGGTGGTGATGTTATTGGAACTATGTGCTACATATTAACAAGTGATCAAATCAGCTTCTGCTCTCTTTTCATTGTGTTTCATATAACTATAACCCTTGAAAATTGCAAGCAACCCGAGTTAATGGGATAATAATATGGTACTCTTTTCAAAGAACTTTATATTAATAGTTGGAGAATCATATATGCAGGCAGAATTCTAACATTTCATGTAAAAATATGCTGAACTTTTTTTTTCAGTGTCAGTAAAATCTGGGGGTAAGTACAGCGCAAGTGCCATAACTTTTGTACGGAGGACACTTAAGTGCCATAACTTTTTTTTGGCTCACTTGAGTGCCATAACTTTCAAAAAAAAGATCACTTAAGTGCCACTTACGAGCTGGTCGTGAGGGCCCGAAACCACGGCTTTTTCGGCCGAACAATGACCTTCCCGGTGAGGCGAGCACCACCAGCTTAAAGAGGGGGTGTCGGTGAATCATTCCATGGCCTCCGTTCGTCTCGAAATTTCCGTTTTAGCCTCCGTTGACGAAGGTAAAAATGCTCCGTAGTCACACATTTATCGAGCCGATTTGTGTGACTACGAAGCATTTTTACCTTCACAACGGAGGCTAAAACGGAAATTTCGAGACGAACGGAGGCCATGGAATGATTCACCGACACCCCTCTTCAATCTCGGGTGGTGCTCGCTTCGCCGAGAAGGTCACCGTTCGACCGGAAAAGCTGCGGTTTCGTGCCCTCATGACTAGCTTGTCAGAGGGGTTGGTCGTGAGGGCCCGAAACCGCGGCTTTTCCAGCCAAATGGTGACCTTCCCGGCGAGGCGAGCACCACCAGATTGAAGAGGGGGTGTCGGTGAATCATTCCATGGCCTCCGTTTGTCTAGAAATTTCCGTTTTAGCCTCCGTTGACGAAGGTAAAAATGCTTCGTAGTCATACAAATCGGCTCGATAAATGTGTGACTACGAAGCATTTTTACCTTCGTCAATGGAGGCTAAAACGGAAATTTCGAAACGAACGGAGGCCATGGAATGATTCACCGACACCCCCTTTTCAAGCTGGTAGTGCTCGCCTCACCGGGAAGGTCATTGTTCGGCCGGAAAAGTCGCGGTTTTCGGGCCCTCGTGATCAGCTTGTAAGTGGCACTGAAGTGATCTTTTTTTTTGAAAGTTATGGCACTCAAGTGAGCCAAAAAAAAGTTATGGCACTTAAGTGTCCTCCGTACAAAAGTTATGGCACTTGCGCTGTACTTATCCCGTAAAATCTATAAATGTTAGGAAGCGTTAAAAGACCGTCGGTGAAAATAAGTTATTTGGTGACTTTTTTCTAGGTAATTTGTTGGAAGTCAAGCAACTCTTTTGTGAAATTGCTAACGTTCTATGATAATTGCAAGTTTCCAACGATAGGAAAATTTGGAAAATTAGAAAACAATAAATGTTGTCAAGTAACTCAAATAAGAGCTGATAAGTCGTAATTGATTGGTAAATTAGTCGGAGAAAAGTTAGGAAGTCACACAAATAAAGATTGGTGATTTCGTATAATAGTTGGTAAAGTTAAGGCGTTGTTTGAAAAGGTAAAAAAAAGTTGATAAAAGATAAAAGAATTTTTTTTTGTCAAAGAAAAAAATAATCAAATAAATGTTGATAACTATTTCAAATAAGCGTTGGTAAAACAAAACTAGCAGGTAACTTAATTGGAGAAAAGTTGATAATCACTTTACTTAAAGTTTGTAACTTCTAAAAAAGTTAGCAGATTTAGAAATTTGGTGAACACTTAGCATTATATATTAAAATTGGGAAACGATAAGAAAAGTTGGTAAATTAAAAGAAACTCAATAAATATTGTGAGGTTTCTCATATAGTACTTGGTAACCCAAGATTAATTTGTGACTTAATTGGAGAAAAGCTAAAACTCGAATAAAAATGGTAATTTAGTATGATAGACATTACATTTATAGAGTAAGAAAGGTCAATAAAAGTTGGTAAAATATGCTAGATTTTTTGTTTGTTATAGATAAGAGAAGTTGGTAATTTAAAAAATTTTGTTGGTAACTACCTACTCAAATAAGAGCTGGAAATGCAAAACTAGTTGGTAATTTATCAAAAAAAAGTCAATTACACTTTAATTAGTGTCGGTAATTTCTACAGAGAATTGATAAATTTAAATAGTTAGTAAGCAAGAGGAATAATAGTTGGGAACTTAATAGAAAAAATAATAACTTTAAAAAAACCTAGTAAATGTTGGTAAGCAACTGAAATGAGAGTCGGTAAAACAAAATTAATTGTAATTTGATAGGAGACAATTTGGGAAGTCACACAAATAAATGTTAGTGAGTTCATATAAGAGTTAAGGAAAAGTTTAAGGTGCTTGTAAAAAAGAGTTTGTAAAATGAAAAATAAAATTTGGTAAACAATAACAAAAGTTGATAATTCAAGAAAAAACCGTATAAACATTGGTGATTAACTTGAATGAGAGTTAATAATCCAAAACTAATTGATAGTTTGAAAGCAAAAAGTTGGTAAGCCACTCAAATTAAGATTTGTAATTCATAGAGAGTTGATAAAATTTAAGGTATTGGTAAGAGAGACAAATAAAAGTTGGTAAAAGATAATAAAAGTTGATGATTTATAAATTGTTAAAAAGATGGTAATTTCATAAAAGTTTTAGCAAGTTACCAATAAATTACCCGAAATCAAGCGACCGATGATTTGTTTCTACCAACAGTTTTTTTACACTTAGCAACTTCTTTTGAAAATCAGCCAAAAAAAATTAGTTTTTCAATAGAACCGTCGAATCATCCTTTATAAATACATATATCTAAGTTCAGGGTAGATATTGTAATTGATTATTTTTCTGGTATAATTTTGACAGTTTCCACCTATTTTATCAAGATTAGAAGTGCCTTCCACAAGCGAAGAAAACTCAATAATATATATCTTAATCTTATTTTCCAAGTAATTTCTAGTATTACAGAAACCCTTCAGGACATTGGAGCTTCGGAGCAATGGGTTACAAGAAACTGCTCACCGTGGTTTACTTGATAGCTACATATAAAAAGCCTTTGGTGAGATCTGGGGGCTTTTCTTTTTATACAATACTTGCGCGGCTAAGAAACCAAATGATACAGCATCTATAATCAACTTAACCATCACCTTCTAAATCCACTTGAACATTCTCAAAAGGTATGCCTCATCAACGGAGTTGTGATGGGTGGTGGAGCCGGAATCTCCATGCTTGGGAGCTTTCGAGTCGTGACAGAGAATACGGTAAATGATCATTGTCTATAGTTTTATTCGATATTCAAAAACAAGACTTAATGGTCATGGATGATGATTGCATACGAGCTTTGTTCATCACAACGTGTCTACTGAGACATCTGATAGAAGTTTTCTTCTTACTACAGAAAATTTATCTTTGAAAATTGTAGCAGGTATTTGCAATGCCTGAAGCATCAATAGGACTTTTTCCGGATGTGAGTGCATCTCATTTCCTATCCAAGCTTCCTGGTTACTTTGGTAATTTTCGACAGCCTTTTCTTCTTCATTTTGTCACTTTCGATGACAAAGAATACATATGTTGTCCTTTGTAGGAAGGGAATTAAAGAGGGAGAGAATTACGTTGTACTAATCTTTTCATTTGTGTCTGTGTTTTTGCCTTATTGACAAATTTTAATTGTTCAGTCAGCGTGTGTATATTGTACCAAGTTTTCTAATAATCCATTAATCAATCTACCTTATATGTAGAGTTTTGTGTACCATCATTTCGGTTTCACGAGTGGAGTTACATTGAGTAGGTGAATATCTAGGGTTAACGGGAGTATGTCTAGATGGAGCAAAGGGTGCGTTTGGTACAGCATTTGGAATGCTACTTTGGGAATGCAAATGCCTTTGGGTGGAAGCCCTTTAGGAAAAATGCAAATGGCGTTTGGTAAAAACTCATTTGCAAAGCTATTTTGACCCAAGTGGTGTTTGGTTAACTTTTTTTCCAAATTGGGGTTTGAGGGGGTTTTTTTAAAAAAAAAAGGCAAAAATACCCTTCGCCGGCTCCGGCGAAGGGCTACGGCTCGGGCGGGGGCTACAGGCCGCCGGCGAGCCGAGTATCTGGCGCCGGCGGCCGTCGCCCGTCGCCGAGCGACCCTCGGCGAGGGACGCCGACCTCGGGCGACGAGGCTCGAGGTCGCGCGACCCCGTGCCGACGGCCGCCCGGGTCGCTAGCGACCCCAGGCCGACGGCGCCTGGGTCGCGCGACTCCTGTGCCGACGGCCGCCCGGGTCGCGACTCAGCCGACGGCCGCCGGGTCGCGACCCCAGCCGACTGGCAGCCGAGGTCGCGGGACCCAGCGGCCGCACTGGCGGTCGCCCGACCCCGAGCGGCCCAGCCGGGCGATCGCTCGACCCTGGCGGCCGTCGCCCGGGTCGGGCGACCTCGCCCGGACCTTCGCCGTTGCCGGCCCTTTGCCTCGCCGGAGTCCCTTTGGTGAAGAAGATGAACAGTAACGAGAGGGCAAAGCCGGAATATTGAAATTTGAGTGAGGGTAGTTTGGGAAGTATAAAAATGATTTTGGCATTTGGTTCAAGGCTGAAAATCCAAAGCTAGTCCTGATCAGCTAGTCCAATGCTTGCATGTGGCCTTGCAACTCATTTTGTCTTTTCAAAGGTAACTACTAGTTAGAAGCGATTCCAAAACATGAGATTCTAAAGGAAAATTTGTGAAATTATAGATTTATTTATTAATCAATATGATTTTATTTTGTCTTTTATTTTCACGGGTAACCCTCTATTTTCTCAGTAGGATCTTCCTCTCTTAGAGCATGCTCTCTCTTCGGTGGATTCATCAAATGCATCAGAAATTTTATCTGTCATCCACAAATTTGTGCTCTAGCATTTGACTCTCTCCTTGTCGAATCTAATCTCTTCAGCGTAGCTAGTCAGAAAAATTCAAAGCAGTCTTCATTGTTGGAATAGATTGAAGAGTATAAACAAATGCTTCTCAAGACAAACTGTGGAGGGCATATTGCATTCTCTTTGTAAGTATTGGCGTGACTCTTCCTTTTTTCTTCTTCTATTTTACCTGCGAAGCAGCAATCGCCATGGTTGCATGGCTGAGATTATTGCACGGTGCAGGAAAATGAGTTGCTGGAGAACTTGGCAGAGAAATGGATCGCTGATGCAGTGACCAACATAAAGTTTACGAGTCCGACCAGCCTAAAGATTTTTCTGAGATCGGTAATATGCAAAAGAATAAGTATACTATCCAGCTTAGCGAAAATATTACTAATTAACATTTATAAACGATAGTGAAATTCGAAAAATAGCTTCCACTTTTCAAAATCTACTCGTAAAGGGTAAGGGTGTGTGCAAATGGGATCTTGAAAATAGAAAATATTCAGCAATTTGTGGTAGAATAGGATGGGAGAGATCCCATCAGTAAACTTACTCCTTGCCTCCGTATCGTACATGTATGTATATGTTTATTCCTTCAGCTGTAGAAGTACATGGTGCCCATAATTGCACGCAAGACATTGACAGTCATTAGTGTGTCACATTACGAGATGCGTGGCATATTCCATTCAAACAACCAAAAGATGTTGTCGATTTTGATTATTAGATAAGAGAAGGACGTGGTCAGACGATTGAACAATGTCTAGTTCGTGAGTACACCATCTTCAGCAACATTGCCCGGAGGAAGATCACCAATGACTTCTACGAGGTACTTCAAGCACGAGTAGCCATAGGATGTAATATAAACAACTTCATGTGAAATTTAATTTACGAAGTGATCTCACAAACTCTAAATGGATATATATCAATATGCAGGACAAATTCAAGTACCCAATTAGAGTTTTAATTTGTCACATCACTTTTTCAAGCAACTTCTAATAGCCGAAAAGTATTGAATGGATTATAGACCATATAAACCAAAACCATCTCAATTATTGATTATATGGGTCCAACTATGAGGCCTCTATGATCGACGGTGGAGATGACCTTGGTTTATATCTATAGACTATATAATATTCACGTAACCAGAGTATTGGGCGAGCGTTTCTGTCATTTTCCATATTTATTGTTCTCTCCATCAATTTGTGTAATGCATTGGTGAATCCGTTTTGGTGCAGGGTTCAAGGGCAATTTTATTCGATAAAGACAAAAAGCCTAAGGTGCAAACATATAAACTTTAACCCTACTATTTGACTTGTCGAGATGGATCTTCAAAACTTTATTCAGTAAGAGCAACAATATATCTGTTTATTTGACATTTAATATGGTCATGAGATCATGCTTTAGACATCATGCTTTAGATGTGGGTTTTTTTCTTAGGGAAAAAAGTTGCAAAAAACCCCAAACTATACTCACTGTGATACATTTACCCTGAACTTTTTTTATGAAATCAAAAACCCCAAACTATACTCATTGTGACACATTTACCCTAAACTTTTACTTGTGACATAAAAATCCCAAACTTGTACCTGTATGAAATATTTATCATCCGCTAAAGTTCTGTTAGATGATTTTTTTAGTCAAAATAATGTTCTTTATATTTTACTTAAGCCACGTGGGCGTCATATCAACGCTATTTGTTTTTTAGTATCCATGTAGACAGATTTGTAATGGTTCTCATGATAGAAGTTTGACGAAAGGTTAATATGTCATACAGGTAGAAATTTGGGATTTTTTGTGTTATAGAATTTTTTTTAAGAGTAAATGTATTATAAATGACATTGTTTAGGGTTTTTGGTGACTTTTTCCCTTTTTTAATGCCAAATCTTTTGATTGGTACTTGGCTTTATCTGTCATTGGTTGTATGTTGGCTAAATTAAGACGGTCCAAATCATTAGTTTCTTTTAACTAATTTAATGGGAGGAAAGGATACATGTTGAAATAACAAATGATATTCTCTTGTATCTTATCCTAATAATAAAAAACCATGACTTAACCTCAATGAGTTCAAGAGAAAATCATCAAAGCCTCGCAGAGATTTGACATCCTATAATCGTTGGAAAGGTATAGAGCGAGCTAGAATTGTGTGAAGTCATATGCTTAAGTACATTATTGGTCCGTTTCCGAATATTTATCTAACAAATTGGATGCATCAATACGTGAGGTTGAGCATGAGCCTGATTTTAGTTTGATGAACACAGTGGGACCCACCAAAGTTAGAATTGGTCCGAGCAGAGACGGTGGATATGCTATTCAAAGCATTGGAGGATGATGACGATGGGAATTGTCTGCAGCTTCCTGTACGGTCATCCAACTTACTTGGCCACGTGAGATCGAAGCTTTGAAAGAATCTGTAGTGTTTAATTATGAACGCAGATGGACCGCTATCTACGTATCTATCAATTTATGAGTTTACATTATGCATGGTACCCATTTATTTTAATAGCCAATATGAACTTGACACACTGTCTGGTAAGTAGATTTTAGTACTCCCGAGCGCTAAAATTTCTCTTTTGCAAGTGTATTGGTTCTTGCTGTTTAACAGAAACAATAAAAGTTTTCCTAAGTTGTTCAGTTCAACGCAAGGCATTAACTAGCTAGGTATACCTACAGTAGTTATCAATACTCAGTAGTAAATATATATTCAAACCAATAGGCATGCGGCCTTACTGGTAAAGAGATTGAAAGAGAGAGGGGGTTGGGGACGCTAGTATCACAGGTGCGGGGTTTGACTCCTGTGCTCTACAAGAGATAGAGCAAAATTTAGAGAGTGATGAGAGTTAGATATATAACAGACCAAAATATTATATATATATATATATATTCAATCATAGTAAACTATACCTTCCAAATGAAAAAAAAATGTCAATAAATCTTCTATCTAACTTGTGGCTACTTTACAAAAGCCAAGTACATGCTGTTCAAAGAATCATACGTAACATAATTTATGAAGAAGTTGATAATTGTTCATGGGTGGTAATTTTAGAAGGGGATTGGTAGTTAATGTTGCACTGAGTTAGTACCTTGATATGTAAATTAGTATATGTGATTGAACTATTGCTAGCAAGTTATAAAAGATTCGTAAGTTAACAACAGTACGAGGGTAATCTAAGTAACTAGTGTCACCGATAATAAGTTTCAACCCATATCGGCGGTGCTACTTATTGCAATGAGTTTGTAACTCTGCTATATAAATTATTAGAATATTTAACTATTAAATAACGACTTCATTTAATACTTTAAACTTTTAAACAATTGGTAGTAGAACAAAAACTCATATTGTATAAGAGCATAAGGTTCCAAGTTCAAATCTTTCTAGACTCCTTATTTGCCACCCCATTATATATTTCCATGCTTAGCCTAAGTGTGAGGGCGAATATTAATTTCAGTATTAAACCGCTTCTTAATCTAACAGTTTAACATATTACAATAGTTGGTAGTAGTCTCACAAATCTCACATGGATCGATACTTAGTTTTTCAACAATCACTAGTAGTTTCTCAAAAGATTGGTAAGTTGACCGTTGCTGTGGTAATTTGAATAATGTCATGGTATTGAGCTCTTATACCATAATAATAAATTTATATATGCACCAGCAGTATATGCCTTTCAAATTATAAAGGCTTGGTAATTATTATTGTAATGTGTTAGTAACCCAATATGTGGACAAAATGCCATCGGACCTTGGCAGTAACTTCTTGCAAATTTTATAGGTTGACCCTGTTATATCGATAAAGGCGATCACTACCTAATTTGTATACAAATATGTTGATAGTGCGTTCACATTGGTACTGGTAATCAAATGTAATAACTAATGGTAGAATGTCTGCCCTTATGAATCAATAAATTATGATTGTATAGATGACTTATAGGTTGGTAGTCTTAGAATAGACGGGAAGTTACTATCAAGGAATCGGTTTAAAAGGTTAAGCAATTGGTTTTGCTTTAAAATCGGCGCTCGATCATTTAAGGCTATTAATATTAGAGCCAACTTGTAAATACTATATAATTATTTTTGTTTAAATGCGACAGACGTAGACCATCACTATTTTTGGGCAACTTATAATAATAAAGATTAGATGAAATATTAGTTAATGAGCAAGCTCGTGTGTCTGGATGCAATGCATTGAGAAGAGTCGGCCAAAAGCCAGAGTTCTCATTTCATGACTACTCATGTAAAAAAAATATTTTTTTTACACTGATAATGTATCTTATATAAATCCTTAATTAATTTCATCTTAACTCTGAAAAAGAAAAATAGCTTCAACAAAAAGATAGAGAAAAAGTTTCTTTTTCCAAAGTGATGAACCAGTCAACCACTTTCCTTGCCTCAAGTCTTATTATTATTAAATCTTCATTATTAAAAAAAATTCTTTATAAGTGAAAAATCTAACATAAATAATATGAAGAAATTAAAAACGAAGTCATGTAGATGTCATTCCTCAATCTTTCATAACATGAACTAACATATTGCAATTCGAAACCATATTGGTTTTTCTTTTTTAGAGATAAGTACACCTATTAAATCCCTCATGTATTAATACCAATAGACTATTTCATACACATGTAAAAGAGGCAAATTGGGAGATTTTAATGCCTTGGGTAATATTAGAGGTGTCAAAATGGGTCTTAAACCCATATATGACCCATTTAAAAATAAATGAGTCATATATGAGTCACTTTAATTTTAAAGAGTCAATTTTAACTGGGTTTAAAATTTTAAAGCATAAAATAAATGGGTCTAAATGGGTTGAGTTTGGAACCCATGTCCAACCCACCTACTAGACCCATCCACACACTCTCTCCCTCTTTACAAAAATGTTTAAAAAATCGAAATTTAATTATTTTTTTCTTTTTCTTTTATTTTTTCTTTTTCTTTTCTCTTCTTTCTTTTTCTTTTTTTTTATTCCGGCCGGTGGTCGGCCACGGCGACCGCCACCGGGCGAGACGACTCTCGCCGCAGGCCGGCGGCTCGAGCTCGCCGGCCTCAGCGAGGCTCGAGCCTCGCTGATCCGGCGAGCCTCGAGCTCGCCCGATCCGGCGACCTCGAGGCTCGCCCCGATCTCGGCGAGGCTCCGGCCTCGTTGACCTATGGCGAGGCTCCGCCTCGCCGATCGGGCGAGGTCGAGCTCGCCCGAGGCCGGCAAGCTCGAGTCTCGCCAGATCGGCGAGGCCGGAGCCTCGCGAGGCCGGCGAGGCGTCGCCTCGCCAGATTGACGAGAACGAGCTTCGCCGGCCTCCGGCGAGCTGCCTCGCCTATGGTCGGTCACCGCCGCGATCGGCCAAAAATAAAGGAAAAAGAAAAAAAATAAAAATAAAAATAAAAAATAATTAAAATTTTGATTTAAAAATAAAAAAAATATTAATTTTTTTTATTTTCTTGGATAATGACTTTATGGAAAATATTTTTTAGAAATGTCGCATTTTTCGTAAAACAAACAGAACCTCAATTTTAAAAAAGTTATAAAATTTTTCACTAGCTTTGTATTGCATAAAATATTTTAGCAGTATAATTTTAAAAATCATAAGAAACAAGTATTCCTAGATTAGGTTAAATATAAAAGTGTTTTAGCAATATGGGTCGGGTCGGGTATGGGTTGGGTATGGGTCGAGTCGGGTATGGGTCGAGATATTTACACTATGAATAAATAGGTCATAAATGGGTAAATGGGTCAATTTGGGTCGGACCATTTATGACCCGACCCAAACCCGACCCTACCCACCCATTTAACAGGTCTAGGTAATATAGGGGGAAAAGTACAAAAAAAGTTCTAAACCTATTGCATCGGTACCAATTAACTCCTAAACCTTTCAATTTGACTAATTCAGTCCTAAACCTTTTCACATTAATATCAATTCAGTCAATCTTGCTAATTTAGGCAAGAAATCGCTAACGTGGACGCCGACCGTCCTATGTGGCATGGCCGGCGCTGAAGTGAACAACTTTTTAATAATTTTTTTTTTCATTTTTAATGTTTTTTTTTCTTTTATTACTTTTTTTTCCTTCCTTCTCCTTGCTTGGGCCTGTGGCTAGTAATTGGCCATGGCCGGCAACCGGCCATAGGCGAGGGAGTCACGGCCCTTGCTGGCCACAGGGGAGGGTCGTCCTTGCAGCTTGCGGCCTGGGGGAGGGCCGCCCTCGCCCAGGCCGCGAGGGTGTAGCCCTCACCCTCGCCGACGAGGGCGACCCTCCCCTTTGGCTGGCCACAGGCAAAGGAGAAGGAAGAAAAAAAAACAATGGGAAAAAAAGGGAAAAAGAGAAAAACAATATTAAAAATTATTCACGTCAACGTCGGTCGTGCCACGTAGGACGATCAACATCCACATCATCGATTTTCGGCCTAAATTGGCCGGATGGATTGAATTGGTACCAATGTGAAAATGTTTAGGATTAAATTGATCCAATTGAAAGGTTTATAACTGAATTGGTACAAATGCAGTAAGTTTAAAACTTTTTTGGTAATTTTCCCATATTCTAGGAGATAATCTATGCTCTTTGGAAGCTACATTATTGGGGGAAAAGTGATAACCTTGATGATATAAAGATATTAATTTCAAGTATTAATTATATGATTTTAAATTTACCATGTGTACTTGAACTGAAAATATGGCATTTCTCCCTGGCCAATATTATAAGTCTATAATAAGCAACATGATTGTAGAATATGTCCAAGACATAGGGTTAATGGTGATAATATACTCTATTAATTTATCCAAACCGAAACAATGGTGCAACTTCCAGAGCAGGTCACATCTCTACTTATAGATTTGAGTTCTTTCGAAATTTGAAACCTTTTGGTTTGCTTTCGATTTCTACATGATGTTCACCAGACGACTTTTTATTCGGCACGAGGTACAAAGTGGGAAAGGCATGCAGGTTACAATAATAATGGTATGAAGAAGCGTTTGTCGCTAAGCACGAGCAAACAAGCCAAAGGCGGGATTTATGGTGGTGAAGCCCCCGTCCACCGCCAGGTTGTGGCCGCTGATGTACTTGGACTCATCGCTCCCCAGAAACAGAGCCGCCTCCGCCACATCTTCTTGCTGAAGAGTCGCCCCATCCAAGTTAGAATACACTCGGAATTCCGGATTCTCGTCGAATTTGAACATCTCCTTTGTAAGTTGTGTTCGAATGAAGTAAGGCGAGAGGCAGTTCACGCGAATCCCATATCGCCCGAGCTCCGCTGCCACGTTCCTTGTGAGCCCGACAACGGCATGCTTGGAGCTGGCGTACGCATGGGATGCAACCCCGCCCACGCTCGAGCTGACGCTTCCGACGTTGATGATGCTTCCCCTTCGCAACGGGATCATGGCTTGAGCCGCGTGCTTGGACCCTAAGAAAACGCCCGTCAGGTTCACGCCAATCACTCTCTCGAAGTCGGCCTTGTCGTTCTCCAATATGTTGAGCTTGGTTGGGTCCCCGATCGCAGCATTGTTCACCATTATGTCCAGCTTTCCATGCTTGTCAACTGCGGTGGCAATGGCATTTTCAATGTCGGATTCGCTTGATACATCGCAATGTACAAATGATGCGGTCTCCGGCCCCAAATCCTTGCACACCGACTTGCCCAAGTCGTTGCTAATGTCAGCTATAATGACTTTAGCCCCATGCTTCGAGAAGAGCCTCGCAGTAGACTCTCCTATGCCAGACGCCCCGCCGGTGATCACCGCCACCTTTCCCTCTAGTCTGCAAACCATACGCTAGTAAATCCCACTATCTAGTTTGACGTGAACAATAGAAACTAAAACGAAAGTAATTTCTCACTTTGATGAGCACAACTCTACTCTCAAAAGTAATTTTCACAATGTTAGATCGCGCCCATATTGCAAAAGCGACATGAATGAGCAATGCGGTGTTGCTGTTTTGTTATCGGACTTGTGAAAACACACTTATGCTGCATAAACTCATCCTATGTGAATGGACGTGCATACCTTCGCGCAGCCTGGCAGAGGGGTGCTCTGGTTGCCATGATTCGAAGATTGTAACAAAGATGGCTCTAGCTATCAGCAAGTGGGTTTTTGTATGATTTGTGACTACAATCGAACCAAAACCTTCTCATTATATTGATTTCTTTGGGGGGGGGTGGGGGTGGGGGATGGTGGGGGATGGTGGAGGTGTGTGTGTGGTGGTGTGGTGCGGTGGGGGGGTTGGTGGTGGAGACCTAATCTTACCCATTGAGCCAAGGGAGTTATTGCGTTATTTCAAGGATAATCACAATTACGGTGCCACCCTTTAGTCATCAATATCTTATTGTTGTTTGCGACAAAGAGAAGCATCATCCTTGTTTCAGTCATTACAATACAATTGACCATAACAGGCGTCATCCGAGGTTCGTCCTACATTAACTGATACATGCATGTATCAACCTATGAATATGATGTCTTCTCTAAGACAAGTGGGCTTTCTTTTTTTTTTTTTCCCACCCCATCAAATGGTTGATCCCCCTCGAGCATCTTATTCATGGCCTATGGATACGATTATCGTTTGCATCAAAGATGCCTCTTGTGGATTTTTTAAGGATGTAAAGTACCAAGTAGAGTCCATCCGCAATAGACATCTCCCACTTGTTCACATGGAGCTAGAAAGATACTTTTTTTGGTAAGTAGCTTTATAATTAGTTGAATCCATTAGCAAAACATAAGCCGTGACGTTGTTAGTCATATATGGTCTTATTATACAAGAAGAAGTCGTAAGACTCGATAAAACTTATCTTGAACATAACATAGTTTATGGAAAATGTCATCTTCCACTTACTGGAATTTCGGGTACTGGTTCTCAAAGTATCTTCTTATGGATTTAGTCCTCTAATGGTAATCGCAAGTGCAACAATGTTGTTTTTTTTAATTAACTTTTTTATTATGTGTAGTATTTTTCTTCCTTTTATCTAGTTGATAGCATTTGTATTTCGTTGGTAAATACAAAGAAAAGTGATAGGATAGGCATCATTACCGGTAAAATGAGCGTAGAAAAATTTGATGAAATGAGTCGAGACTTTCATGGTTCACCACTTTTTGCAATATTGCGGTAAAAAAGAATTGAATATGATAGTAAATGGAACAATGAATTAATCGGATATCAGATTTACGTGGTTCAGTCAGTTTGACCTATTCCACGAGGAGAAGAATACTATATTCTACTTTAGATTAAGTAATACTGTGGAGATTATAACCATGCTCGAGTCATTTAAGTATTCTCAGTGTTTTTTCGCTCTTAATTAAATTTAATAACTCACATAGTGTGTATGTCTAAACTTTTCGTGAAAGAACCTCCAAATCTCACAATGGAATATAAGTCCAAGCCGCACTTAAACTATGCCATAACCGTGAACCTTGAAACTCCACTAGCACTTTATCTAATCCACAAAGACTCTCGGACACAACCTCCTTTAGCATAAATAAAACCAAACCAATGTTGCATTCATACCCGTTAAGAGATCGAACTCACAACTTATCAAACTTAATAGTTACAATAATCGTCCATTGTGTTGGAAGTGCCGAACCTTGGCGCACATCGCCGAAAGGCAAAACTGTAGCACTAGATGGAAATTTCGGTGTGTGCTCATTTATGAAAACGAATTAGGTGATCGGCCGCCGATTTTGGTTTGAGATTTGCTATTTGAGCGAGTGATCTCTAACCTTGTTATGATGATTCATCTGGTTATCTGGAGATTATTTTATTTTGAAGTTGTTTGGAAGTTGTCTTGTATTTTCATGAAAATGAATGAAATGTTACTTTGACCAAAAAAATATCAAGCCGATTTGTCAGAATTATTTCACTTATTATAGGAAAGCAAAACCGGTTATTTACCAAATTATAGCAATCTTTCTCGTGCATTTGCGGTTACCATTTAACAAATACTAGATCCGAACACGAGAGACTAAGGGCATGTGCCTATATCGAATGTCAATTTCCTATATCGAAATTGACGATGCTTGGAAGTTCAGTACGTACAAACCAAATGAGAAAACCAATAATCCACGTTCCGCTTCTATTAGTTTTTGTCCTATTCATACCTTTTCATCTTGTTAAAATAGCTCTGCCCAACCCGGGCTTTCAAATAGTTAATGTAGAAGGTAATGGTTTCGAGCAATCTCAAGGGAAGTGGAAGGGAATAAAGTTTCGCGACGACGGAACTTGTAGATAGACTACGACACGGGAGCGGCTTCGTCGAGATTAATGATCGCTCCTATCTACCCCGTAGTTATCCAGGGATTGAAACCCTTTTTTCGTTCTAATTCCTTCTTTAATGAGTTTTCATCGACTGCTGTCGACTAAATTAGTCGACTTAAGCACGTGAAATGGATGGAGATGGAGACATTTCTCAGACCACCGCCCACCCGCTTGGACTCATCCTTGCTCCTGGAGAACATGGTATATGCATTCTGCAATGCCCTGATGGCCCCTACGATTCCACCAGAAGGAAAAAGACAGAGAGAAGTGATCGATGATCAGGAGGCGTTCTTCACGTGCTTGACGAGTCTTGGTTTATTCTAACTTGACAATTATTGGGACTTGAAGCACGTTATTAAAGCTTACGCACGCACGTCCCATGTCAGATGCAATCTAATTCTGGTCTTGGAAACGTTCTTTGTTTTTTTATAGTCTTGAGTAGCGTGATCCGTCAGCGAGTGTCAGCGCATGTGTTCCGGTCGATTCCTACCCATCATTGCACATGGATGAGCAATCCATAGTTGGGTCGCATTCGCACCGTACAATATAGGGATAATTACAAAAGAAGGAAATCGTGAATCTATTGCGTTTTTACTGATTCAGTCATGAACTTTTTAATTGTGACAATTTAAATATTAACCTTTTTCATATTTTGTTGATTGAGTCCATCCGTCCAATTTTGGACAAAAATCACTGACATGGGATGTAGACGCTGATTGTCCTACGTGGCATGACCGACGCCTCACATTAACAAGGACAAATTTTTTTAATTTTTAAAAAACTTCCGATTTTTTTAATTAATTTTTATTTTTTTCTTTTCTTCTCCTTTCTTTCTTTTTTTTTTCCTCACTGTGGTTGGCGAGGGTGAGCTCACCGCGGCTGGCTAGGGTCGCCAGAGCCCACTAGGCAAGCCTCGCCCAAATCTAGGCAAGGTGGCTTTTTCCCGCGGCTACGATGGTCTGGGTGACTTGTTCAACAATTTGAGCAGCAATATGGAGATCGGATTTGGGTTTGGATTCTCGAATTGGAAAAAATTAGTAAAAATAGGTCGAGAAAAACCGCAACATCAATCTACCTATGCATTGCACGTGTTTTTTTACTTAAATAAATTTTTAGTTGAAAGGATTTAATTGAGATATACCTAATAACGATTCTCTCATCTCAGTTAGAATTAACAAATTTTGGAACTATTCTTTCCTCGAATTCTTTCTACATTTTAGCATGTTGTGATTGTTATTAATTAATTTCCTAAGAACTCATCTCAATTACTATAATAGGATATATGGCTCATTCGGGGTTGGTCCTCCGTGCTTGATGGTTGCTGCCGCTAATTGCGTTGGTGATACGGAGGAAGTGGCGGCAATTGGTCGAGAGAAGCCGCGAGTTTAATCTACTCGTGTATTGCATCTGTATTTCACAAGTTATAATTTCCTTATTCAAATTAAGTTTTGCTTGCAAGGATTAATTTGAGACATTATAGTTTTGATTTTTCTCAATCTCACTTAGAAATTAACAAATTTTGGATCTCTCATTTTCCTCCAATTCTTTCAATATTTCATCATATCCTAATTGTTTAAATGACCAAAAGAATTAAACATTTCATTATACTTATATCATATTTTCCTCTCTATGTAGCTGCTTAAATGATCAAGCCACTACAAGTAGGGGTGAGCATGATTCCAGGGTAAAATCCGGAACTTGAGAACCTGACCAGTGGGACCCATAGGTTTCAGGTTCCAAGGTATGCAGGGTAGGTTCCAAGTTCAAAAAATTAGGAAACCAATTTCGACGGATAGGTTCTAGATCCTAAGTAGGTGAAACTTGGAACCTAGAACCCGAAATCTTAAACAAGTTTTTTGTGTTTTTTCTTGGTATCTGTTTTCTCGTAATCCCGCGGCGTCCCATGGCATTAGATAATGAGTGTATAATTTGAAACCACTAGTCTGAGCTTTCATTTTATGACTTGTTAATGTTTTATATTTTTCGTAAGTCTAAATATAAGTTGTGGTTTGTGGATTATAGCAACAATTGGTAGTTATTAAATGTGATGATTCACTATGATTATTCAATTAATAATATAGGTGGAACTTGGGTAAACCCTGTAATCAACCTTGGAACCTGTGACATAGTAGGTTCCAGGTTCCAAGGTATGTAGAGGAAGTTCCAAGTTCCAAAAAATGAGGAACCTATTCCCATGGCTAAGTTCTAAGTGAACCTGTACAGAACCTAGAACCGCTCACCCCTAATTGTAAGTATTCAGTGAAAATATTATTAAGGACATTTTACATACATTGCCATAAGAAAATGGGTTAACACTATAGAAAACCCCAAACTGATACACTTGTAACAAATTTATCTCAAATTAATTTTTTGACAATCAAAAATTCTAAATTGGTACACTTATGATAAATTTATCTTAAAATAATTTTGTGACCATCAAAAACCTCAAATTAGTACACTTGTGATAATTTACCCTTCGTAAAATTGGATTAATACCATGAAAAAACACAAATCGGTAAACCCGTGACAAACATAGAAGTAAAATCTCAAACCGGTACGCCCATCAACTGGTTACATGTTATCCAACTTAGCAATTTGATGGTACAATTTAACATAAACTAATGAAATGTAAACTTGTCACAGTTGTATTAGTTTGGGATTTTTTATAGTAAAAAAATTAATTTGGGGTAAATTTGTCATAGATGTATCAGTTTAGGATTTTTCATGGTATTAACCCTAAGAAAATTAAAAGTGCACAAAAGAAAAGGATATCCCCATTTCAATATATTAAAATCTCAT